GGAAGAGCTAATTTGGTTCATGCGTCACGTAATAGTAATCTACAGAAGGTATTGTTATTGCATCGTCGTTTGGGGCATGCATTGTTTGGTTATTTGAAACATATATTACCTGATTTGGTCAGTGGTATTGAAGACTCAAAATTGAAATGTGAAGTATGTATTTTAGCCAAAAGTCATCGTGCTTCATCGAAGTATGAATAGAACATCTTCTCCATTTGCGCTAGTACACTCTGATGTGTGGGGGCCTTCCCCTATTAGTACTACTTCGGGAATTAAATGGTTTATTACGTTTGTTGATGATTGCACTCGTATGACATGGGTTTATCTGTTGAAACATAAAAGTGATGTTAGTATGATTATTCGATCTTTCTCTCAGATGGTGGCTACACAATATTCCTCCATTATTAAGGTTCTTCGTACTGATAATGGGGGAGAATATGTTAACTCTGAGCTATCTACTTTTTTCCGTGATCAAGGAATTATTCATGAGACAACGTGTTCATATACCCCACAACAAAATGGGGTAGCTGAGAGAAAAAAACCGTCATATTTTGGAAACTGCTCATGCATTGCTTATTGGTGGGTCCATGCCCAAGAATTTTTGGCCAGACGCCATCACCTATGCCGTGTATGTTATAAATCGCATGCCATCCCGGGTTGTGGATTTTCGTACACCTCTCCAAGTATTGCCAGAATTTGTTCCAGTAGTGTCAACTAATACTCTTTCTGCTCGTGTATTTGGGTGTGTAGCCTATGTTCATATTCACAAGATTCATCGTAGTAAGCTCGATCCATGTGCTCACCGGTGTGTTTTTCTGGGTTTTGCTCCTCAATAGAAAGGGTATAAGTGCTACCACCCTGAAACTCGTCATATGTATGTAATTATGGATGTTACCTTTTTCGAATCTGAGTTCTTGTATTCTTCGACTCCATCACCTTCCGATCACCCGAGGGAGAATACGAGTGGTGATCTTGGGTGGTTGGAAATATGTAGCTCAGGGGGAGTATTTATTGATAAAAAAAGTTGTGAAAGCTCTCGGCAAGATACTGCCGAGAATAGAGACAGTGACTCTCGACAAGACACTGCCGAGAATGTGAGTATCATTCAGCCAAGTAGCATAGAACCAACTGAGTCTTCTCGGCAACGTGTTGCCGAGTGTGATGGAGAGTGTCAGCAGGAAGCTGCCGAACAAGTTTTACCGCTCCAGCAACCATTAGCTACCGAACCCGCAACCCCCTCTCTCTTAAGCTCAATAGTGCCACCCAATATGTCTTCTCTGAGTATTCCTGAGGTAAGTACTACTGATACTCATGTAACTAATCCAGATAATGTTATGAGTACATATAAGTTGCCTCCAAGGCAAAATCGTGGTGTTCCTCCTGACAGGTTTTCTCTTGAAGGAAAAATGAAGTATTCAATAGCTAATTATGTGTCATGCTCAAACCTTGCACTAGAACGTCAAGCCTGGGTATACAATGTGGAAGCAATCCAAGCACCAACCCGAGTTGAAGAGGCCTTGAAGGATCCTAAATGGGTTGCTGCGATGGATGAGGAAATGATGGCACTACATAAGAATGATACATGGGAGGTAACGGAGCTACCTAAAGGAAAGAAACCAGTTGGGTGTAGATGGGTCTTTACGATCAAATACAAGGCAGACGGATCGGTAGACAGGTATAAAGCAAGGTTAGTAGCAAAAGGTTATACTCAAACTTATGGTGTTGATTATCAGGAGACTTTTTCTCTAGTAGCGAATATGAATACAGTACGAGTTCTGATTTCTTTAGCTGCAAATTTGAATTGGCCACTAAAACAGTTTGATGTGAAAAATGCTTTTCTTCATGGGCACTTAGAAGAAGAGGTATACATGGATTTCCTCCAGGGTACGATGCCGGAGGGAAAACCGGAGTATGTAGGTTGCGAAAGTCACTCTACGGACTTAAGCAATCGCCTTGTGCGTGGTTTGGTAGATTCACCCAAGTTATGAGGCGGATTGGGTATTATCAAAGTCACTCGAATCATACATTATTTGTGAAACGAAGAAGTGATAAAGTGACAGCCTTAATTATTTATGTAGATGATATGATAATAACAGGTGATGATTCAGATGAAATGGTCAAACTGGAGAAGAACCTTTATGCCGAGTTTGAGATGAAGAGGTTAGGTGACTTGAAGTATTTCCTTGGTGTGGAAGTTGCTCGTTCGTCTAGAGGTATTTTCTTGTCTCAACGGAAATATGTTCTGGATTTATTGAAGGAAACAGGGATGCTTGGGTGTAAACCCGTGGATACTCCCATTGTGGAGAAACATTACTTGGGAATTTATTCGGATCAAGAACCAGTGGATAAAGGCAGATATCAGATACTGGTAGGAAGACTAATTTACTTAGCACTTACCCGTCCGGATATAGCCTATGCAGTAAGTGTGGTGAGTCAGTTTATGCACTCGCCAAGTGTGGATCATATGGCAGCTGTTATGCGGATTTTAGCTTATTTGAAGTCGGCTCCAGGAAAAGGAATTTGTATAAAAATTCCAGTCATCTGCAGATTGAAGGATTTACTGATGCTGATTGGGCAGGTGATGTAACTGATAGACGATCTACTTCTGGATACTTTACGTTTGTTGGTGGAAATCTGGTTACTTGGAGGAGCAAAAAGCAAAACGTGGTGTCAAGATCGTCAGCTGAGTCCGAATTTAGAGGAATGGCACATGGAATATGTGAAGTCCTTTGGTTACGTAAGTTACTTGATGGTCTAGGTTTCAAAGTAAAGGAGGCGACAAGTTTGTATTGTGATAATAAATCCGCACAGGAGATTGCAGAGAACCCGGTACAACATGACAGAACAAAGCATGTGGAGGTTGATCGTCATTTTATTAAGGAGAAGCTGGAGAAGAACATTGTTTCAATACCATTTGTGAACTCGAAAGAGCAACTTGCGGATATCCTCACTCATGCTGTGTGTAGTAGATCTTTTGGTGACTCACTTGTCAAGTTGGGTATGTGTGATATCTATACTCCAACTTGAGGGGGAGTGTTGCCGTGAGTAGTATTAAAAAAGGGCATGTAATTATATTGTAAATATTAGAATCCTTTATTAGGAAGGTTAGGTGTGTGTCTTTTTTTGTTTTCCTTATAGAACAAGGATTGTATCTTGTATATACAATGTTCTAAAACGCGGTCAAGGCGGCCGCCTAGGTGGCGCCTAGGCGCTGGGCGTCGGACCGCCGCCGCGATTTTTCAAAAAACGTTCAATAAATCGGCAAGAGGGAGGAAGAACACGTCGGTGTTTCACTACACAACTTAGAAGAGGAGGGCGACAACATAAAATCTAAAGGGGAGAGAGAGAGAGAGAGAGAGAGAGAGAGAGAGCAAGAGAGCGTGAGGGAAGAGAAAGCGAGAGAGAGATCGATAGAAGGAATAACAGTGCAATTTCTAGAAAAAAAAAACGAAAATTTTGACTTGGACTCGTCGGATTTCTTCGCTGGAGCCGGTAACGTTTTCGAGGATCTTTGTTGCGCTAGACTAGGTTTAGGGAAATTTTGGAAATTTTGTAGGGCAAGAAGATGGGGAATTAGGCAGAGAAGACGATGGAGAAATAGGTGCAGTATTCGAAGAAGTGAATGAAGACTGGAAAAGGAAACGAGACAGCTCAAAGCAAAAGCCTCCCGATTTCCAAGGCGTCAAAACCAAGCGTCAAAACCAAACCCTTATTGATTTCCACTACCAACTCCCCTTATCTTATCTAATTGATTTCTTGAAGTTATAAATTATAATAAAAACAATTACTCATTTCACTATTAAATAATATATTATGTAATTACTACTTGGGTTTATAAGTTAAATTATAATAAAAACAATTACCCACTCCACTATTAAATAATATATTGTGTAATTATTTGGAAGATTTATATATAGAGATCAAAACTTTAACTGTATTTCAAGAACCTTCACTAGTTTTTAAACATGTCAATAAGAAATTTATTTAACACTTAAATAAACACACATTATATGTTTGCTCCACATATTTTTATTATGTTCTAATACTTTATAATATATATGTCATTCTATTTTCTAGTTTATGATGAAATTATATATATTTTAAGTATAAACAGACACTTATTTACATGAAATACAATAGATTTACTTAAATCCGCCTAGTCCGCCTAGACGCCCGCCTAGGCTCCGCCTAGCCGCCTAGGCGCTAGGCCCCAATCCAATCCACCGCCCGACTAGCGCCTAGCGTTTTTTAGAACCTTGTGTATATATAGTCTATTTTTGCAATACAATGAAAATTAAGCCGTAAAATTCTATTATTCATCTGCAAGAGACCTGATAAACCATTTAATGGTAATTGTTGTAATTTTGTTTGTAAATTATGTGCATTTTAATTGCTGACATGGATGATTGCTGTACTTACTAGGCCCCATTATGCTTATGTAATATTAGTGGATTCCATTAAAAACAGGCTTACAAAATTAGACACATATCAAAAGATCCCAAAAAACATTAACTTGTATGAGATTTATACACATTATCTATGTGACATCCATGTGTGATGTTCGTCTGACATGGACGGCTCAGATCCATCAACACAGAAAATAAAATATTCAGAGTCATCCATATAATATCACCCATGGATTCCGATTCATCCATATAATATCACCCATTGATTCTGAAAATTACAAGTGGAATTACCCAAACGTCGCCTAAAAAAAGGATAATCTTATTAATTTTCGGACCAACAAAAAAACGAATTTAATATTTGCTTAAGAGCTAAGATTTCCATGGGCCAACCATTTTCCTCACGTGGCCGCACGCCATAGGTCCAACAATGTCACACGCGGTCCGTGATTTTAGATAACGCCCTCTCCTTCCGCCACGTACATAGAACTCCGTGGCCCAGACCAACGGACAATGTCGTCAAATCTAACCGCCGTTAATTTTAGCGGCTCTTATTGCTCAGGGTTCGGGGTTTATAACCCCGCCTATTTAAACGGCGCAAACCGAGGGAGAAAAAAACAGAGCGACTGAGAGTGAGAGGAAAAGAAACGCTAAAAAAGAAACGGGAAGATCGGCGAGCGAGGGTTTCGAAACGGGAAGTATTTTCTTGGTTGGGGAATTGTGAAACGATAGCGTTGTCGAGATGGCGGAGCATGCAGACGAAGTGAAGGCGGCGGAGTCTTTGTTGGACAAGGTACCGGACAAGATCCACGGTCACGATTCGTCGTCGGCGTTACCGCCGTCGGAGGCAGTGCGCGACAAGGGCATTGGCGGTGGCTATTCGGCATCGTTGAAGTCCAAGGTTAACAGGCTCTTTGGGAGGGAGAAGCCCGTGCACCACGTCTTCGGTGGCGGAAAAGGTAGCGTTTCGCAATCGAAACGTTCTTTCTGATCTTTCTGCTAATGGATCTAGATCTGCTGAGGCCTTGTGACTTTGTTTAATTGCTAATTAAGATTTTGGTATTTAATTAAAGTTGGGGTTTCTTTGTTAATGTTCTTAATTCACTTCTGTGTGATTATTTTGTTAAGTTTTGATTTTTGTGAATAAATTAAGTTGGGGGTTACTTTGTTAATTTTTTTAATTGGCTTTTTAATCCTTTTCCAGTTTTGCTAATCCAACTGATTATTAAACTGAACCCTTTCTAATCATGTTGCAATTTTGTGTCGAGTTAACTTTTTGTACAATGACATGTTGATTACGTGGTTTGGATTTTCACAATCGAAAATTTACAAGAACTGCAACCTTATAATTTTGGTTTGATGAAAAATTGATTGACATTCTTTTTCCATTTTTGCTAATCCAACTAATTATTTAACTGAGCCTTTATAATCATGTTGCAATTTTGTGTTGGGTTAAATTTTTTGTACAATGACATTGTGATTATACGTGGTTTTGTATTTTCGTAATTGGAAATTTTCAAGAAATGCAAGTTTTTGTTATGGTTTGATGAAAATTGAATAATTATATGTTACAGCCGCTGATATTTTCCTTTGGAGGGGCAAGAAGGTGTCGGCAGGTGTTCTTATCGCCTTAACGATCATATGGGTTTTCTTTGAATTGCTTGAATACCATCTGCTGACTCTGGTCTCCCACTTGTTGATTATTGGGATTGTTATGTTGTTCTTGTGGTCCAACGCTTCAACCTTCATTAACAAGTAAGAATGCCTTTGATTCTTTATTTAATTGTTCTGTTTGTGTTCGGGGCAATGGTCTCGATTTTATATGTTTGGAATGACTCACTTAGCACCAATTTGTTACATTCAGGTCTCCACCCCACATTCCACAAGTTCAAATTCCTGAGAAGCCGGTTCTACAGATTGCGTCTGCAATTACATCAGAGATCAACCGTGCTTTTGTTATCGTGCGGGAGATTGCATCTGGGAAGGATCTGAAGCAGTTCCTCTCTGTATGTTTATTGCCCTCTAGCTCTGTCTTTTCTGATTGATGCTGTTCATGTTCCACTACGATTGATGATGATGATGATTTAATTGTTTCTCGATTTGCAATTTGTTTGTATATAATCATGGCATGTATGAATTGCAATCTGTGTTCATATGAAAGGGATGATCTTTAGATACCATGTTGCTGACTTGATTGTTTATGTTTTTTCGTATTTGTGAATGGTGTTATGATCGATTAGGCGATTGCTGGCTTGTGGGTTGTGTCCATCTTGGGGAAGTACTACAACTTCTTGACCTTGGTCTACATAGGTAAGGAAACCACACATTGTACATATCAGTTATGGCTGCCATTTTCCATTTCTTTCTGCGCTTGTTCTTACCATGGTGTTGATTCTTTCTTCACAGCGGTTGTTTTGCTCTTCACACTTCCTGTGTTCTATGAGAAATACGATGACCAGGTGGATGCGGTTGCGGAGAAGGCACTGACTGAGATGAAGAAGCAGTATGCAGTATTTGACGCAAAGGTGCTAAGTAAAATTCCTAGGGGGCAGACGAAGGCCAAGAAGTTTTAGAGTGGTTGACGTGCAGCCGGTTCTATTAACTGTGTTTTGCCAGGGTGTTGTGCACATTTTGTCCATGATTGCTTAGGATCCTCGTCTCCATTTCATAGTTCGCGAGTCCGCTGGATTCACGGTGGGGAATGTGAATGTTTCATACTTGTTTCGCTAATATATTTGGTTTTTTGTTTGTGACATCACTTACTTCAAAATGCTTTCTGCAATTTTGGAGATTTGGAATGGTGAGTCTCTTTTGACAATTCATTGAATCTTCAGAAAGCTTCAACATACAAGCTTTAACAAAAGAAAATTCAAAGAACTTAGCGAAGAAGGCTTTGGTGTATTTAACACAATACGTTGAAATGAAGGAAAGCTTATTTATTGATATCCCCGATAAGCTACAAATATGTACATATACATGAGTCAAAATAAACACACAAGAGGGAGCCTTCACAAAGGTTGCTTAGGAGAAGTCTCAGCAGTCGGTAGAGCCCCAGAAAGAGAAGGCACCGGAGGGGGATCATTTGGAGCCTCAGTACTGGACAGAACCCTAGAAGGAGGAGGCATCAGAGGTTGATCATTTGGAGCTTCATTACGCGGTACAGCCCCAGAAGACGAAGGCAATAAATGCCTTTGGAACAAACCCCACAAATCTCTGATGATCAAGTAAAACCTGACCATCAGTTTCCTTCATCTGGTCAAGCTTCCTCTTCATGTTTGTAGCATAGTCATGTGCGAGCCGGTGCAACTGTTTATTCTCATGCTTGAGCCCTCTAATCTCCTGTTTGAGACTCATCACTTCAGCCGCCAATGATTCAACTTGGCGGGTTCGAGCAAATAGGCGTTGGGCCATATTAGACACAGAACCTGCACACTGAACACTGAGAGCCAGCGAATCCTTAACAGCTAACTCATCAGACCGTTTGGAAAGTAGTCTGTTATCTTTGGGAGTGAGAAGGTTCCTGGCCACCACCGCAGCGGTCATATCATTCTTCATCACGGAATCCCCAACGGTAAGAGGACCAGTAGGGGAGACGAAGGATGGGCGCCATATGTTGTCTGGAGAAGGCGGGGCTGCCTCTTCAACAAGGTTCAAGTCAAAACGACGGTCGGAGGGGCCAGACATTTTCAAAGGTGTTGAAGAGAGAAGAGGTCGGACAAATCAAGATCTTAGAAGTGCAAGAATGAAGCTTCTACTGGTGGAGATTCAAGTGTGCTTTGGAACTTAATGCCAGCCCCTATAAAAATCTGCACTCGACGGAGCTTCAGAAATCGAAGAGGCGCCTGCTCAGAAATCGAAGAGGCGTTTGCTTTCTCAAAAGCTGGGCTGCTTAGAGATCACGAGGGTTGATCTCAGAAATCGAAGAGGCGTTTGCTTTCTCAAAAGTTGGGCTGCTCAAAGACCACGAAGGCCGATCTCAGAAATCGAAGAGGCGCTCGCTTTCTCAAAAGCTGGGCTCCCCAGAGACCACGAGGGCCGATCTCAGAAATCGAAGAGGCACCTACTTTTCCAGCCTTTTCCAGCCTTGTCAGCACCTGTCACACGCACACTCAGCTTTGCGGAAATTATGGGCATTCTGTCAAAGACTTCTGGGGAAGTAGAAAACACATGAATCTTACTGTTCAATCACCCACTTCCCACACGCAACAATAGCTCATGGGTACCACAGATAACTTTGCCAAAGTTCTCTGCCAAAGTTGAGCACGTGAAGCTTGCAGCTCCCACTACATCGCTCTGACCAAGAAGGGTAAAAGAATAGCAAAGAAACAGCACTAACAAAGTTTAGACCCATAAATTTTGAAGGTCTAGCTACCATATTATTACCCACAAGGGTAAAGGAACAGTACCACTGCTGGATAATTGGAAAGTCCCTGTGTGTCAACCTCTGTGCTTCGTGGCAAGGTAGACTAGCAAACATGCCCAACCTTTACTCACATTCGAGAAAACACTCCCAATAAGATTGCTTGCTCCAAAATCGAAGAGGCACCGTCCTCCGAATCTCGAGAGCCAGACTCCCAACATGACTACTTTCTTAAAAATCGAAGAGAGGGTAAAGGAACAGTACCATTGCTGGATAATTGGAAAGTCCCTGTGTGTCAACCTCTGTGCTTCGTGGCAAGGTAGACTAGCAAACATGCCCAACCTTTACTCACATTCGAGAAAACACTCCCAACAAGATTGCTTGCTCCAAAATCGAAGAGGCACCGCCCTCCGAATCTCGAGAGCCAGACTCCCAACATGATTACTTTCTCAAAAATCGAAGAGACACTGCTCCCCGAATCTCGAGAGCCAGACCCCCAGCATGATTGCTTTCTCAAAAATCGATGAGGCATCGTTCTCCGAATCAATCGAAGAGGCGCTCGCTTTCTCAAAAGCTGGGCTGCTCAGAGACCACGAGGGCCGATCTCAGAAATCGAAGAGGCACCTACTTTTCTAGCCTTGTCAGCACCTGTCACACGCACACTCAGCTTTGCAGAAATTATGGGCATTCTGTCGAAGACTTCTGGTGAAGTAGAAAGCACATGAATCTTACTGTTCAATCACCCACTTCCCACACGCAACAATAGCTCATGGGTACCACAGATAACTTTGCCAAAGTTCTCTGCCAAAGTTGAGCACGTGAAGCTTGCAGCTCCCACTACATCGCTCTGACCAAGAAAGGTAAAAGAATAGCAAAGAAACAGCACTAACAAAGTTTAGACACATAAATTTTGAAGGTCTAGCTACCATATTATTACCCACAAGGGTAAAGGAACAGTACCACTGCTGGATAATTGGAAAGTCCCTGTGTGTCAACCTCTGTGCTTCGTGGCAAGGTAGACTAGCAAACATGCCCAACCTTTACTCACATTCGAGAAAACACTCCCAACAAGATTGCTTGCTCCAAAATCGAAGAGGCACCGTCCTCCGAATCTCGAGAGCCAGACTCCCAACATGACTACTTTCTCAAAATCGAAGAGAGGGTAAAGGAACAGTACCATTGCTGGATAATTGGAAAGTCCCTGTGTGTCAACCTTTGTGCTTCGTGGCAAGGTAGACTAGCAAACATGCCCAACCTTTACTCACATTCGAGACAACACTCCCAACAAGATTGCTTGCTCCAAAATCGAAGAGGCACCGCCCTCCGAATCTCGAGAGCCAGACTCCCAACATGATTACTTCCTCAAAAATCGAAGAGACACTGCTCTCCGAATCTCGAGAGTCAGACCCCCAGCATGATTGCTTTCTCAAAAATCGAAGAGGCATCGTTCTCCGAATCTCGAGAGCCAGATACCACAGACCACTTTTTCAAAGTGCTCTGACAGAGTTAAAACATGTGAAACTGGCAGCTCCCACTACCGTGCTATGACCAAGCAGGGTAAAGGAATAGCATTACTACTTGTTGTTAGGGAGACTCCTATATATGTCGACCTCCATCCCCAACGGACAGGCAGACCTGCAAAAATGCTCAACCCTTCATCATATCTGAGAGGGCACTCCCAACGAAGCCTTTCGAAATATTCAGCTTTCTTTCCCCCCGATAATACCTCTGCAAACAAGCTATACTAGAGCAAGAATATCTCATATCATCAGGGTTAAAAGCAAGAGTATCCCATATCATGCTTTTTCCCTGTCTTTTCCTTTTGGCCTTGTTTTTACCTGCAAGACAAGGAGAAAGAGAGCAATCAGTCAGCACTTGGAATCAAGCTTCCAGCCAGGAACTGACTGCCTGGAACCCCTTACCTGATTACTTACCTGGCATTGCTCTCGAGTACTCATCTTCAACATCTTATGTTTCCAGGGAAGATTCCGCATCTGCTTGAGGAACAGATAGGGCAAGTGCGAAGGATACAAGGAAGCATGTGGAGACAAGCGTAACAGCACACGTGCCGATACATCCATTACTCTGTCAAAAGCAAAAGTATCCCATATCAGCAGGGTGGAACGTACTCTAGATTTGATGGACTTGTTTTGACCCTCAAATTCTTCAGTCGGCCTTATACTCTGGAGGAAACCAGAAAACCCTCCAGCTCAGTTCAAGAATAAGCCTGTGGAAAGTTACTTCTTCAAAAGCAAAAGTATCTCATATCATCTCTTCTCATTTTTCTTCTCTTTATCCTTCATGCTGCTGCAAGATGGGGAGAAGGTGAACAATCAGTCGGAGCTCTGATTGCTTACCTTGTCTGTCACCTCTTTCAGCAGACCCCCTAGCTCGGCGACTTGGGGGACTCCTACTACATGGTTTGTATCGCGCTTGACCAAGCCTGAAACTACAAGTAAGCTTCAAGTGAAATTGATACATTACCTTGTGCATCTCCACCAGTTAAAGATACCACCCCTGGATGGAGGAAGAGTACTTCCAGAGAAGATGCCACATCTACCTATGAGACAGATAAGGCAAGTCAAGACGACACCACACTCCGATACTTAGAAGTTTCGTGATTACGAGATCATTCTCCCACAATATTTCCTAATGTCATTTGTACTAAATCATTCACTTGTACTCACTAAAAGGAGAGCTTGAACCTATGTACTTGTGTAAACCCTTCACAATTAATGAGAACTCTTCTATTCCGTGGACGTAGCCAATCTGGGTGAACCACGTACATCTTGTGTTTGCTTTCCTATCTCTATCCATTTATATACTTATCCACACTAATGACCGGAGCAATCTAGCGAAGATCACAAAAAGCGATCGTTTTCGCTACCTAGGATCTATCTTGCAAGAGAACGGAGAATTAGATGGAGATCTCAACCATAGAATACGAGCTGGATGGAAAGAGTGCATCCGGCGTGTTGTGTGACCGTCGTAGGCCACTGAAGCTCAAGGGAAAATTTTATAGGACGGCAATAAGGCCTAGCGATGTTGTATGGCACAGAATGTTGGGTGGTGAAGCATCAACACGTACACAAAATGGGTGTAGCGGAGATGAGGATGCTTCGTGGGATGTGTGGGCACACGAGAAAGGATAAGATTGGGAATGAGGATATCCGAGGTAAAGTAGGAGTAGCCGAAATTGTAGGAAATATGAGAGAAAATCGGCTCCGGTGATTTTGAACATGTGCAAAGAAGGCCGACTGACGCTCCAGTTCGAAGATGTGACTACGGGACAGAGGTTCAGGGCCGAAGGGGTAGAGGAAGACCTAGGACAACTTTGGAAGAGACTCTAGGAAAAGACGTAGAGTACTTGGATCTAACGGA